TCTAGAATGATAAATATGGTGAATTATTTCACGAGCACGGTTTAGAATATTGTGATGTGTAAATCATAATATGTAATGAATTGTCTGTATGTAAATTATATGTTTATAAGCTATTATTGTAGCAAAACGTCTCGAGTTTCCTTTATAGCTGTAATCGTTAAGTCGTATAAATGGAAAGGTGTTGTAAAATTGAGAATTATACTGCTTGTACTTTAAATGCCTCAGTGTTAACTAAGACGTATGGATGTCTGGCATTTACAAGATCTGAGTTTTCTTTGATTCACTGTAACTTACGTTGTAGTATTGTAAATATTAAAGTTTTAACAGAATTCAGTAACGTTTACTCCCTATTTACTTTATGCGTTTTATAGTAAATCATTCAACTTACTTCGTAATTTCACGTCTATGTTTATGTCGTGTAAATATTGGAAACGTCAATCGTGCCTTCGATAGGGTGCTGTTGAAATTTGACCGGCGAAAGTGGTCACCGAGTAAACTTGTAGACGGATATAACGGAGTTGTTGGCGAGGTGCGCGTGCGCATGATATGTCTACAGGTGAGCCGCATCACGGCGTCCTACGATGAGTCTGATGATAACAAACTTTATTATACCGTTGAATTATTGCTATCCGCGGCTCGGAATATCATAAATATTATAATGTATGCCAGTGCTAGTGAAATTTTATCGGATTGAATTGCTATAGGTTCTATTCTTTATTCAGGTTAATTTTTAAGATATGAGGAAAAGTTTAATGTCTTTGAAACAATGTTATTCTATAAATAAGGTAGTTTCTGATTGTGTTTTTTTGGAGAAAAAATATTAATATCAATATATCCCTATTTTAAATGTAATGCAGTGTGAAATTAATGTGGGCGACTGAACGTTAACAAATGTTCTATTGAAGTCGGTTATTTCTTTTGTGATTATGGATTTTTTTTAACAAAAAAGTTAACATTTCAAGGTTTATTCTTTACATACAAATAGTAATAATAAAGTATTTAAATTCTTATAAAGACTCAGAATGAAGCGTGTAACCGAATAGATCGAGTAAAAATGACCGTGACGAGAGACAGCCAGATAGACCAATTTGTTTTTATTACGTAACATAATAATAATATCTTTAAAACGTTTTGTAATTGCACCAACCAAACATTCCAGACTTTTATTTGTATAAATGTTGTTGTTCTCTAATAATATAATTGGCTACAATTATTTTAGTTGATACTTTTCTCCATATTATTCACAAAAAATATTATAATTGTGTGAAATAATAAAAAATGTTTATAGACTGGTTTATGAAAACAATGGAGTTTAACTGTACTTAAACTATGACGAATTAGATAAGCAAAGAAATCTCTGCATATCCAATTAGTGGTATGAAATATGAAGATATTAATTATAAGAATCTACCTATAGATATTCATTTAAAACTTACGTAAATAGATAGCATCACGTGTGTTAAAAATAAATGTTGATGTTTGTTTTGTACTATTGAACTAAGTAAACTGAAAGAGAATTTTATAACTCTCTAAACAAACTTGAGTAAGTAGAAAATAAAAATTTCTCTATCATAAGTGCAGTAATATAAAGAATAAGAAATAAATTTTATGACAAACATTATTACGTCTGTATGGTACTTGATGCGTTTTGACAGCACGAATGCAAAGCTATGTAAAAAATAAGAAAAAAACACTACACATTGCCCAATCTGTCGCTGGGATAATCCCCTGTCTAAGTGAGAATTTCATCATTGCCATCATAAAAATGTATATTAAATTTTACCGTTATAATGCACTACTTTCATGTAATTTCTAAGACGTTGCTTGATTATTTTTTTTTTGTTATTAAAATGCGGGCGAGTTACCGGAACGAAGTACGCACGTATCTGACGCATTTGATATGCGTACAGCTTGAGAGAAATCTCGCTTAGATTTTTAATACGTTGAGGTTGTACTGTAATTAAATTATCAGTGTAAAAAATAAATAAGACCTATATGGACATTCATAAAGAAAATTCAAATACTATATTTATTTATGATACTAGCTGTTACGAATTACGGGGATTTCAAATTCAAACTTTCTGTGGCACAAAATCTTACTTTTGAAAGTAAAAGGGTAGACGTACATAGTAATTTCAATAAATTATTTTTATAAATTATATGTCGCGTAATGGATTCATTTCTGCGTTGTCATTGATTGTCAATTGAGATGTGGATTTTAGATTTCACTTTTTTATTTTGTAACTTGAAAGATTTTATTGACAACATTTATATATTTTTTATCCTTTTACGACTCTTACTTTACATGTCACTGTAATAACTGTTATTAGTTATAAATTTAAAACGTTTTGTATCCGACAGATGGAACGAAAGACTATGTTATTACTAATACTTTAATTTTTTTATTTGAACTTCACTTTAATACTACTTCGTTTTAAAGATTTATGAGACTGAAATAGTTGTTTAAAAATTTGTGCTCTCAGTTCTGAAGGTAATTTGCAAAAATTTCATTCATATGGAGTGAGTAGTTTTATTAAACACACAATCAAAACGTACATTTGTACTTACACTCGAATTTATAACAGGTATAATTTATATCGTAACAAATTATTTTTAACATTTAATCAAGGATATGAAAGAGACGCTAAAAGCAGACAATACTTAAGACAACTTAAGGCAGGTTTATTGACCGTAATTTTGTGATTAAATGAAGATGATCCGACCGCAGCCGCTTATGAGATGCAATTGTAAGTACTTCCTGACCGGGCCTATTACACATACTAACTATACCGCTTTGGATTCCCACAGGCCAGTTGAGTTTGTAATTATACGTTTAAAAATATGAATTATATAATTAGAGGTTATTTTAAAACTGGATGTAACTTTGTGTCAGTTAGAAATTATTCAGTACATAAATCTTTCATAAATAACATATTAATTGCCCTTTGATTTTTTTATTCTAATTTCATTAACGAATTTCAACGCGGGGGATCCGACATTTGGTCCTTTTAATTAATGCACAATACCCGTCATGTATCGTCAATGATCGCGTTCTAACAATGCATTTTGTATTGTTTTATCAAAAATTCTAGATTAATATTATATGTGCGGGGTGGTGTATTGTTTTTCATGCGAACGGCGTTAGGTGCGGCCCACGCTGACAATACCACATTGTACTCAGCTATGCATGAATGGATGATTTTTTTTTTTTGTTGATTTTATAACCATGCCTTTTGTTTTAACCGTACTAATTGACGGACTTTTCTGTGTACTCAATGGCGACCTATTGAAAGTTTTTTTAACATTACCTCATTATATACTATTGACATCCTAATTTCATTCCATACAGAATTACGAGATAATTGTATGTTTAGGAACAATTTTTTACGGTTTTGACTGAAGTAAGGAATACATTTTAAGGAAGAATAAATAATTATGTACTATTAATATAACAGTTACAATCTACGTTGATAAATAAAGATTTTATGAAAATTGATAATTGATAATGTATTTAAATTTATTTTCTTTATACAATCTTTTCATTTTCATTAAGCTGAAATTAGTAAATGGACTTCTGATATTATAAAGTATCTTCGAAATATTATTTGAGAATCATCAAAACGTTTTCACTGTTATAAAAATATAAAGTCAATTTAATTCCAATTTGTCGTATTTGATATTCATCGTGAAAGCTACTTATTACACCATGACTTTCATAAATCACATTAGATTACTGAACAATATTATTTATCTGTGAAATATTCTAAAGGGGTCAATTTCTTTTGATTGACGAATGAATCATGATTTTAAAAATATATCTTGTGAACTTAAAGCGAAATTTACATTATAACTTATAGTTTTTGACTTGTGTTTCTGTTGCATTAATCCTTTTGGCAAAATAAGGGAATAAAAAGGAATTCTTCCTAAATAGAACGCTGAGTATTAATAACTCAAACCGTTTTTTCTTGAGCCTAATTTGATGTTTACAAACTGTCAGACAATTGAAAGAGAAACAAAGACAACTCTTTTACGAGAGACACGCTCCATGTGTCAAGCTTGTTAGTTTAGGGAACTGCCTGACAAGCCCAGATGAATATCTCTCCGGAAGATGGCCATTACATTGGCAAATATCGACTCAGATCAATCGTTATCTCACAGTATTAAATCAAAACATGCCTTTTCCGGTTATTGTCCAACCGTCGATGCTATTGTCTACGAATTATGCATGTAATTTGTTTTTATTTTTATCTTGATGTATGATCTAATTCTATCAATATAATCATATGAACCAGGCTTTCTTTGTTTGTATACACATATTAAAAAAAGAATGATCACTAGTTTTTTTTATTATCTTCCATTTATACGTACTTGAGTCGTATTTATTCTGACATTTTAAAATGCATAATGACGTTATATACTTTTTTATATGTATTATAAACTGTCATTTGTTTATGATTACTAATTTAACAGATTATAAATAATTTTTAAATAGGAACGTAATTTTGTACAAGGCGGTTATATTATGTTGCATTAATATTTTAAATTAAGTACATTCAATAAATATAATGTGGTGGGCGTGTTTAATATCTTGTCGTACTTATCGTTAACGGGTAGATGTTTATAGTTAGTGTTTTAAAGATGGCATCGCGATTGTGTATCTCGCTTTATTAACCAACCGGTAGTCGGATATGTAAACCAATATGAATTGTCATTTGCATTAACATTAAAGTAACGTCTTGTTATAAAAAGATTGCTTTTTATTTAAATTTAGAACTTATCCACTACTATTTGCTTCAAATATCATTAGTATAAATTTTTAAGGTATATTAATAATTTATGTTTGTTTATTTTCAGGTAAGTTAAATCACAAATGTACACGAGAATTACGAAATTCAGACCATGCCTTCCACCTTCAGGAACTAATAAAATGTTGTAAGTTTACACTATAAGCATAGAATCTTATATAATAAAATATGCAATAAAATATTTTATTGTCCGTAATGGTGCTAGACAAAGACACGAGAAATGCTGGACAAATAGCTATAAATAAGATCGCAGCTTGTCCTATAGAGGAAATAGCTGCTGGTTGTGATGCTGTAATGAAAATTAATGGCCACAGACTCATCTGTTGCTGCAGGCTTTACTTGTCATTTCATCATAAATCCTATCGAATTAAATTATACTATTGCTTATGATATGAACTAGGGTCGTTGTTTTGTATGACGGTTTAAAAAATTTATATATAATTGTATGTTCGGTATAATATATGGGAAGTGAAAATTAGCTCCTCGTCATATAATATGGTCAAAATGTTATGTACTATTTAATACAAAATCAAGTGGGGGAAAAGTGAACTTCTCTATAATATATTTTTAGAGACTATATTTTACTTAGTATATTTTATATGCCGTACTAAATTTAGGACTCAAAATATCAGCAAGAGTGTATTCAGTGAGTATGATAATAGCTCTTATGAACAATATTTAATAAAAATTTCATCCGAAAAGGTTAATGCACTGATTTTAAAGTACAGTTTGCCACACGTCAGTACATTCAGATTGACGGATGATGTGATCAAGATGTTGATATATTAAGTCTGAATACAATTCTATTCTATTATCCCATCATAACAATCGTGTTTTTAATATATGTAAATAGAACGATATGCAAATTTAAAGCTTCTGTTACAAGATTTATATATGTGCTTCGGATCTATAATAATTTTAAATGATAATTCCGCGTGAATTGAATACGAATCGACAGCACGGTTGGCATCGAATAATATAAACGAACAGCTTTACAGCCTTCGAGACGTCGATTAGAAAAATGACTGAACGTAATTTTATCACGTCCATATCCTAGTATAATACCATAGGCAACAACCTACGCATTTTATGATATTAATTTATATGCAACATACTGCCTCCAGAGACATTCGATCCCTGTATACGTTTGTGCTTCGTTCCAGATGCACTTTCGAACGGTTAAATGGCAACCTTTAGGGAATATAAATTCTATGAATAGTAGTATACATACATTATATAAAATAAATATCGCTCTAAAACGTTTTATAATTCGGTCACGCGTAATGGCATCCTTTACAAGTTATAACGGGATTGTTTTATGGTTTATTATTGATGTTAGTTTTTTAGGTGGACGATTTGGGTCAGTTTTGGACGCCCTTTCACTTTATTATTATACGATTTAGTTTTTGTTTTTAAGGCTAGCGAATACATTCCGTTCTAGATTTAAGTGATGGTTTTTAGAAAATTGCAAAATGTTTTCAAGTTTATTTTTAATAAAATAGTCTTAGTAGTAACGTAATATCCGCTATAATAAAGTTTTTTTTTTATTATGATTCGATGTCAATAATTTGTGTGAGAGTTAATAGTTTTTAAGTGTCAATATGATTGTAATAACTTGCTAATGTTAGACCTCTTTGGTGACATTTTACTTTCACTTGATAATTTATAAATCGTTTCCGGCCGTATAATTACTATAGTTTGTCGCTTAAGACTACATTAAGTGTAGGCTTTTATATTTAGTAATAGTTTTATCTATTTTTATTGAATTATACGACATCCTGTTTTTAAAGATAGACTTAAATCATGATTTTTTTTAATGACAACACCTTTATATTGTTGTTTTCATTACTTGAATGACAAAGCATATATTTCTGTAACATTATGCAGTTATCAGAATGTACTTCCCATATAAATTAATATAATTTTGTCCTGTTTGCATAATTTGGGTTTTTCAGTGGTCTTATGTGGTGTTTATTTTTAATCGACATTTATATAACACTAATATTATAACTTCCTACAATACTATAATAGTTTTAAATTTCAATGTGTTTTATATCACTTTTAAATTAATTTGCCCTGTTTATTTTTGAAATTTAGGTTATTTCAATGATAATATCCTGTTCTGAAATTAGAAACGAGTTTGTCAATTGGTTTGCCAAAAATGTGTTACTAGTGTAGTAATATATTAAAATATTTAGAGTGAAACTTTTATAGAAGTCTTTACTCTAAGTTCTGATACGACTTTTGTTCCTCATATTTTTATTTTAATCTTACTCTTTAACGTTAAAACGGATCCCATGGGGTAATTAAAAGAACAATCAAATATTTATTCAAAATTATCCTCATATACATAATTAAAATGATTCACTGCCAAGGTCAGATTCTGATATGCAAAATTTAATATAATTATAATAATTTATCGCTATAAAGGTCATTGAACTTTAATGAAAATTCTTTGTTGTTATTTTATATATTTAAGGTCTAAGGTTATATATGCATTAAAATCCGTTTATGTTGAGGTTTTTAATTTTATGCTCATGAAAATATAACAACGCACTCTCCTTTAGACGTTATTTGCAGACTGTGACGTACATTTGTGATATATTTATTTAGGGTAGTTTTAAGTCCTTTAAATTAGGGCTTTAAGAGGGTGTCCTCGACTCGTCACAGGGGGTCAAATTTGGATGGCATGATAATTGACGTGCATTTTGCTCATGACGGACGTACTCGGGTATTGAAATCTTAAATGGCACGTACTTTTAACATAGGTAATTATAATATTTTTGTTGATCGATATCTAGAGGATACCCTTTATATGATTTGATTTAAAATAGCACTTGTAATTTTCATTCAAACGTTGACAGATGAAAAAAAGGTTTTAGTTCTGAGTTCAGATAATAAATTTACTTTTTACTTTTTTTAAATATAGTATAAAATTGCCAGTACCTTTCATATCAACTGTAACAAATATTATTTATTAAACATCTTTAGAATAAATCACTGTTCTCACTAAAAGCTGAAACGATTAATTGCTGTTAGCTGGCGTAATGACGGATAGCCCGTATCATGTTACCGTGACAGCGAGCGTGACAGACGTGACAGGACGGAGAGAGCGAGATAAATAGCTATCTAATACATATAATATAAGTAAAAAGAGAGAGACGACAGCTTTGTTCGTGATATCTTCTTATTGGCGAACTTTGTCTATGGCTCGGATAACTGAGACAGATAAAAAAAGCTTCTCTGTAACAGCGGCAACATTTTATTTAAATATTTAGCTGTTATGAAAGTTTGCTAGTATCATATTTATGTATTTTAAACTGTCAAAAATAAATAATAAATAGTAGGAAACGCGTCAGTGCCACCAACATTATAAAAAGAAATAAATGACTGTGTTTAAAGTCTTGTATCCGTTTTGTTCCATTTCTAAATATGTAGTTGATTATACCTTTCCACGATCTATCCGTAATGGTCGAGCTGCATCTCGATAGCGGGGAACAATTAATTGTTAAGTCAATTCCTTGATTATGCAAAGCCCCGGTACGTTCCTTTCACCTTTGTTATTTCACCCGCACCTGTTATATATTGGACATTGAAGACAATGGTGAAAATACTATTTAAACTACTGTTATAGTGATAAATACGAATGAGTAATGCTGTTTAATAATAAAAAAATGTATATAATATTGTTCTGCATGACAGTGTTTAGAATATTGGATTATTCAGTCCCGCTATGATGGACACTGGATACGGTATAGTCTTGGCGAGAATTGCTTCCATTTTGTGGCTGCGCAGGCGCATCAGGCCGCTCATCAGGCCACAAGCGCTCATTGTATAGATAGGAGTAACGGAAGAAGTGACAGTTATCGCGCTAATGCATTTCCGTATCTATGAACGGAGTGAAATTGGACATTCCCTACCGTAAGGAATCGATTAACTTGGATAGCTAATTGTCACGCTCTGGATACAATTTGCATTCGGTAAGCATCTAGAATTTTCCACTTGTCTAGCAGCATCATTAACACATTTACATGTAATTTTATTCAAGATAAATCTTTACAGTCTCTTTATTAATGATCTCTCCTATTGTGAAGAAGTTGAAAAACTATGAACACATCAATTTTATACGTAAAAACAGTGATCTGAAACGATTTCTAATTAATATAATTACTTATTATATTCTCAAAGAAAGTTATTCGATTTATTCCGTTATGACCGATAGAATATAGGCGTAAAACTAGGAACGTCTATTTTACTCCAATTATAATAATAGTCATGAATCATTCAATGGAAACGCATGCGTTGACAGAATAAATAATTTATAATATTATAATAATTTTTACTCTGAATATTTAAACTGAGCCTGTGTTAGATAGGAAGTGAAGGGGCTGTCGCGATAAAGTTGACGACTCAATTTAACTTCACTTGATTGATCGACTCTCGCGCGATTAACTTATAATTCTGATACCTTTTGAATTTAACAGTACAAAATTTCTATACATTTAGCCTTCACCTCGTCTAAACGTAGTTAAAAGAATAACTACTTCGGTAAAATTTTAAAAGCAATCTACGGTTGCATCATTAAGTATTTTTGGTAATAGTAATTTATTCTATAGTAATAATAAATCGTTCTCAAATAACCAAAAGGAACCTCAATTACTTTGCAATGAAAGATGGGTTGATAAAAGCTATGGGGTCGGCTGGCACTCGTCATTAATAACTCTAGAATACCATTCAGTATTTATGTTTTGAGAAAGGGTATACTCTCAGCTTATGCATAAATTATATAAGTGATTTAATAGAATGAAAAATAAAATTTCATACAATGCATGTCTATGTTCATACAAAGTCAAGTTAATTATCAATAATTCATACAAAGTATCAAAGTTATGTGAAAACTGATAGTTCTCAACGTCCAATGTAACAACGCTGTTATTTGCTAATTGATCTTTTCCTTTACCGAGCTATTTCCAGTGAGATTGTCGAGATTCCATTAAAGCAGGTAACATTACAAATAATAATGTTTCATTAAGAAAACTTGTACGAATAGTATGAAAATGTAAGAATTTCGTTCAGTATTAGATGGCGATAAAATAAAATTAGGTACTAGGTATGAGAATTTATTATTTGTATGTAAATTTAAAGAATTTCTAATGAAATGATGTTCTATTATTCAATGAAATGTGAAAGTTAAGGGCTTTGGGTTACGTGTTCAAGTTTTTGGTATTTTCTATATTTTAAGATTTGGCTTGACGTTTTCTTTTAAGAAACATAATGTAGGCATTTATTTGGTCTGTTACTATTACATTAATGATGTAAGATTAAAAAAAATTGATAAAAAAACGATGGAGATATTTAAATTATAGTTTATATTTACGTGATTAGTAATATCAAAATTTCGTTATATTACTCATAGGGTTGAAGATGAAGGCGGAACTACACCGTTCAGGGGTCGACAACACGACGCAAATAGATTTTAAACAGACGGTCGTTATTAGCTTAGAAACATCCATTTATAGTTTTACTAGCAACAGCCACATGTTACAAGGAAAATACGATCTGTGTTTAATTTTGTGTAAATATTTATTATAACAGGTAATATTTTAGTAACATCACATAATAGGAAATGAGCTCCGAGGAGTGAGGTTCAGAAACTCGTTGGATTTAATCGTATAATGCACTTAAATGTAATGCACATCTTCAGCATTAAAACGCGTGACTTGAACCATGAGAAGACTATTAAGAATGAGATTTTTTAAATAGTTAAGAAGTCTGCAAGCGTGCAGTTAATGCAATAATGTTATAACTTGTTCGCTTAAATCTTACCAATTATTTATGCTTTATCTTATCTAGTCTTCCTGAATTTTTCGATTAATCTCTTAAAACATGACGAAGTTAAAACTCAATTCCTAACACTTAGACGAAATTTTTGAACTTCAGCTGAAAAACTTCTTTTTTTCAGGGGACAACAATTAAAATACATTGATCTCTAACTGACTTAACACTTTAAATTTAAATCGTGCGTTTACTTTTCCACATCCGTCACGTAATATATAGAAGCTTTTATGACGTATATTAAACTTTCAGTTTCATTAAGTATATTTATTGTATATACATTGAGTAATGATTTTTATATAATAATTATTAATATTATATAAGTCGATGGTCTATTAATAAAAAAAATATCAAAACGTCAGTAGAAAATATTAAATGGCCGGTGACGTTGCATAACCATGACAATAGTCCCTTAATAACATCAATAACAGCATTATATTATGGCAACTTACGTAAAACACTTTCTAAATTTCTTCATTTTGAATAAAAACTATTGAATGCCTCGCGAATCTGGTCGTGATCGTTCCACGAGCTGTCATCATTTTGATGTAACCCCGATTTCTTTTTAATCGTTTGAAATGTTTTTCTGTATTTACATAACTCGCTGAGATTTTCTAAGTTTATGAGTACATTGAAGCAGTACTTGATTATTATTATTTTAATGAGATCTAAGACTTTAGCGAGTATTAATTTAAATTAAATGAATATTTTCGGATTACTAGTCGTATTAGTATGAGATGAAATGTCATCTGCTTGTGATAACGGTTGCTGAAAAGTAACCGAAACGTCGGGAGTATGTAGTTTAAAATAATAATATACGCGTAGTAATCCGAAAAATATTAACATCATTTATTATTATTTTGGTCAATTCTCAAATCCCTAATTTTCATAGCGATGCTTCTATTCTGACTTTATTTCTCGATTGTTTTCATATCGATTGAAAAAAAAAGAACATAGCAATATGTTATAGTGTCGCCACACGGAATCACGTGAACTGCAAAGGGTTCGATTTGCAGTATTTTCAGCCGGTGATAACAGTGGCAGGCACCAACCCTCAAACGTTTTATCAATACAATCCCCTCCTTGATAAGACAAAGTTACTTTTTACATGTCAAAACTCACATAACAATATGTTTATAAGAGTAATATTGAACAGGTTTAGTTTTCTTTTTACTTATTTATTCCATTTGTTTTTGGGAATCTTTTGTTCCTTCTCGTATAACCTTTGCAATTTTTGCTGTGGGTACGGAAAAATATCACGAGTTTACATTTTTTTCTATAAACATAAAATAGTTTCATACTTTTTTTTGCTTTTTACACATAGCTTTATCTTTCATTTATTTAAAATTGTGCTATAAAATGGATTAAAATAGTTAAATATTACTTAAACATATTTTACTTTCCATGAATTGTTCAATACGATTTTCCTAAAATAGTTAATATTGAATGCTTTCATTTGAAATTTAGATAGTCATAGAGGATTTAATGTTTTCGTTTACTGTGATATTGATGGATAATAAGAAAATTTCAAATATTCATGATCTTACGAAGAGCGAATGTAATAGCTTTTCTTCGGTGGCCGTCTGAAGGTGGCACTTAAGACTTTCGCATAAGTATCCAGTCTGGTTGATGTTAAAGTATTGAACGTGTTATCGTTTAAAACGATTTTATCTTCCCGCGTATTCAATAATACACAATAATTCATGTTAAGTAGTTTCATGAAGCCATTTCTATTATACCGTTTGAGCGTTTTATTAATCGTAAGTCTGCGGTTCGAGCGGTTTTATAACCGCATGTGTAATAAGTCTTTTATTAAATAAAATAGACGTTCCAATGAGGTCACGGTATTCAAGACTGACAGTTATATAGCTGAAATATCCACTACCCAGCGCTATTCTTTGATGTTAACCAGACTCATACAAATGTCATTGGAAATGCGAGACATTTAAGTGGGCAAATATATATTAGTAGTAAAAGGACCCACTCGCTGTAATTGAGTTAGTGTTAGCGTTTTCTGTACCTGGTGTGCGAATTTATTGACGTCTGGCTTTCGTACCGCTCGTATGTGATTCACGATGGAATGGATCCTCTTTATCTTTGGTTGTAATTGGCTTGGATGAATTGAAGTTTAATTTATATGGATTGACATTGATTTATCAAGTTTCGTTAAAAATGGTTATCGTTTGTAAAATTGCTAGGAAGCAGATCGTAATCTTTATTAAGATTTTATGTTCAAATTCATAAACTTAAACGACGTTCTCCTAAAAAGGGATAGCTTATGCTAATCATGGTATATAATATTCAATTGATGTCTGGACTTTATTTGAATTATTAATATTATAGAGGATCTATCCAGCTCTCAACCAGGACACGCGTCCCTTGTTTAATTGCTTGTATAAAAGACTGGATTGTATCTGTGTCGACACGAGCCCTTTGATGACGCCGCCGTCTCTCGTCACGCCCGTGTTATGAAATTGACAAAGTTTTCATTATGTAACTACGGATATACATACATATTTATACAATACTATTATAATAAAATTTGAGCATGTTTGTAATAAAAAAATTACTCCCATTTTACTAAATACATATGCACGTATGCACGTTGTATATACAATAATATATTTTTAAACATTTTTGTTTGTCTATTTGTTCCAATGAATTTATGAGAGGGCTAGGCCGGATTTATTGATACTTTCACTGGCGGGCAGTGGGTTATTAAATGTATATATTTTATTTTAAAAAATGTATTTATTTTATGAACTTCCCAGTATAGCTAATTTCATAGATATACATACAGTACCAAGCCGTAATTTGACTTTTTATTCGCTTGACTAGCTGACCCGGCAGACTTCATACTGCCTCAATCAAGAAATAAATTATTTCTTAATTATTTTTTTGGAGTTTACCTTTAAGCCATAAATCTCCGTGTACTAAAGTGCGACAGAATGATTGACATATTAGTTAGTTGTCAAATCTAATGTCAAAAAACCCGTTTGTATGGGAAATAGAAAAGCGCTGTTTTTAGGGTTTTCCCGGAAATTATTTTTTTTTTCAGC